AATTCAGTACAAACTTATTTCTTGCAAACTTCCTACAGGGAGGAATACTTCTAGAAACTCTAACCCAATACAGTTTGAAGTCTTGTTCTTTTACCCAATCCAAACTCTCTGTTTGGTTTCCAGGACACCTTCTTTTTCTGGCTCTTTCTATCCCCTGAGTTTGGTTTCTATTTCTGTCTGATCCTCAGAGGCGATAACTCACCACCTCCCAGGCTCATCTTCCAGGCTCTCCCTAGGGTGTTCCGTTTTACACCTTTTCTCTGGATAAACCTCAACTTACAATCTTGACTCAAGATTCCTTTTCTGAGTTTCAGATCACGATTTTCAACTGTCTAATGGGAATCTTTACTTTTGCTCTTGCACTGACTCTTAATCCTCATCTATTCCCCTGTCTTTCGTAGGCAGACATTTCAGAGCCATTTTCTATTTCCTTCTACATTCAATAAATTAAAATTATCACCAAGTCCCTATGGTCCCATAGCTGGATCAAGTTTTAAGTATGTCCCTGCTATTGTTTGTATCTGAATATCCCCCAAAGGCCCATGTTAAAGGATTGTTCCACAGCAGTGGAACCTCTAGAAGATGAGGCCTAGAGGGAGGTCTTTAGATAATGGGAAGTGTTCCCTCAAGGGGCATTGTGGGATACAAGCTCCTCCCTCTCCTCCTATTTCATTTTCCAGTCATGAGATAATGATTTTGCTCTAAAACATGCTCCCTCCCATGAGCTACTGCACCACCATAGGCCCAAAAGCAATGGGCCCACTAATCATAGACTGAAGTCTTCAAAACTCAATTGAAATAAACCTTTTATCTTTCTAAGTAGATTTATCTCTGGTATTTGTTATAATAAAGGAAAACCAATAAGCACAGTCCCTTCATCTGGGTAACAGATCTTTATTAGATGCTGCCTAACTTGCCTGCCTTGTCTTCCTGAAGCAAGTTTTCTGTCATCCATCACTAGATAGCTTTACAAAATAAAGAGAGAACATTCATTCAACTGCTCATGCTTTTCTATGGCCACAGAATAAAGTACAATTTTCATTATATGTGATATAAAATCATTCAAAATTTACCTGCAGCCTGCCAACCTCTGTGGTTACTACACACTCAGTTGATTCTCAGGTATATTCCATGGCTCATTATTTCCAAGCATACAAAATACTGTAGTACATCCATGCCTTCCTCACGACCTTCTGACTAAAATGACTTCCATTCATTTTCCATAGGCTGTCCATAAACTGGGGTTCCATTCCCAACACTGATGCTTATAAGTTGAATATTTTGGAAAAGATCATTAGTACCTCAGTCCATTTCTCACCCTGTATACTCAATTGCTTTCCTTGTGTTTCTCATTAGTCACAGTGAATATTAAATGGAGAGTGTACTGTAAGTTGAGCGTTGCTTCTGACAAACAATTGCTTTTTCATCTTGAATATTTATGCCATAGAAGTTGAATTTTTAAACATCTAAATAAACAATCAGTTGACTTGGATTTTTGCTCATTTTTATTTAAAGTCCCTCAAAAAATTAAAAATTTGGGCCCTATAATGTCACAAGGCTTATATGAATACCAATTGCCAAATTAAACAATGATATGTCTATATCAGTGATGAGTCCAGTAGCAGAAACCATTAACTCAAACTTCATTTTGGCATTCACACTGAAGTGCTATTTCACAGTTGTGAGCTGGGGCTTATTTTTTAACATTATTTCAAACTTTAATTTTTTCTTCTAGGAAGCTCTACTATGACCATTCTCATGGGCTGCTTTCACATTTTATCATTTACTAGTTTTATTTTTGGCCAAGCAACTTTACCTGAATTTTACGACCTTCATTTTGTACATCATGCTATAAGAATTCAATTAGATAGTAAATGTAAAGCAGGATCTCCATAAATGGCTACTGTTGTGATTATTAATATGCTGTCATGGGGTTTTACTAGGACCCCAATATGAATCTCCCTGAGAACAAGGACTGATTTGTCTTTGTATCTTTGGCTTTTTTTCTGGTAGACAGTTTTTATAAATTTAGATAAATCAATCAGACAAAGCTTAATGCCTATTTGATAATTTGTCACCTTCCCACTGAGTTTTATCAAATGTGCCCTCATATGAAAACTAAAATTATTTAATTTATTTATGCTTAGTAAAATCATAACTGACACTATGTCCTTTTATTCCCTCAATGTATATTTTAAAACCAAGTTTTGGGATTAGGAATATTTTCCTCAATGAGACAAAATAGCAGTACTTTAAAAGTAAAGTTGAAAACTAAATGAAAGCACTTCCAAAGCATTCACCCAGGGTGTAGCAGATGAGAGGAAAATCATCCTATAATTTTCATTGCTACATACTCAGTATGTAGCTCAGGGACAGAGTGCTCGCCTAGTAGGCACAAGGGCCTGGGTTCAATCCCTATCACCACATAAGCTCAAAAAAAGAAAAATGGAAGCCAGAGGGCAGGCAGGGGTTGGGAGTGGGTTAGAGGAGAACCCGGAGAGGCAAGAAGCTTAAAATACTTTATTGCTTTAGTAATGCTGGAGATGATGTGTGAGCGTGGGCATGCATGTGTCTGTGGAGTGTGTGTGTGTGTGTGTGTGTGTGTGTGTGGCAGGGGTGGATAGGTTTCAACTTCTCTTTGTTTTCACTTTTCCCAGTCTTGAGTTAACTTCTTCATGGGGATTTGGAGAAATCCATTTTAAAATATTGGGACCAATTTAGATCTTGGGAACATAGAAACCATGACGCAAATAGGAAAAAGTTGAAAGAAGTTAGATTTAATTGTTAATTAGACTTCACTGAATAAGAGGAACACTATAACAGAAAAGTCAATTATAACTGGGAAATGCTTAGCTCCTGCAACACAGCACTGTCAATCATCTCTGATTTGCCATCACTCAAGTAGCACCGAGATTTACCTACAGTCATCCACAGAGAGGGAAAAAATACTTCATTCTCAAATTACTAAAGAAACAATGTGGTGGAAATAGGTTTTTAAATATTGACACATTGTGTCATAAAAATTGATTACACTAAAATATAACTTAAAAATTTCCTAATAATTAATACATGGCAAGGTCTTAAACTTTAAAAAGTACTTTGGAAATAATATTTTGAAATATATTAAATGAAAAAGAACTTGATTAAACTCTTAGAGTTGGAAGGTTTTTAGTTGCTAATTATTTCAATCCATCCAGGAACCTATTCTATTTTAATCAGTTCTCATTGTTTATTACCATTGATATATTCCACTTTCCTCATAAAACATGAAAGAAGTCTGGTATAGGAGAATATTGACCCAGCCATTTTTATATCTCTTTTTCTCTGAGTAAGAGGTCTGCTCTGTAGTTTGTACGGTAATAGTGTGACTCAGAATCAGAATAGCTAAGTGCAAGTCCAAGTTTGATCCCTAAATAGTCTGTGACCCTGAACAAGCTAGTGTATCTCTGTTGCCTGATTAGTAAATATGAAATGCCAACCTGAACTTCCTTGTGAGGTAGCTGTAAGGATTAAATGAAATAAAATGGTGTCTGCCCTCCCTCACCTGTGGTATTACTTCCCAGTTTCAATTTCCCAAGTCAACTGTTGCCCAAAAATATTAAATGGAAATTCTGGTAATAAAAAATTCATTATTTTTAAATTGTATGCTATTCTGGATAGTGTGATGAAAACTTACATTGTCCTGCTCTGTCCTGCTTGGGCATGAATCATTTCTTAGTTCAGTGTATCCGCACTGTATACACTACCCACTTGTTAGTCATTTAGTACCACTTGATTATCAGATTGCCTGTTGTGGTATTATAGTGAATGTGTTCAATAACCCTGTTTTACTTAATAATATCTCCAAAGTGTAAGAGTAGTGATGCCAAGGAGGCACCAGAGCATAAAACATGGCAGAACAGATTAACTCTGGTACCATGTGGTAATGCTGCAGGGAATATAGGAAAAAATACAACATCTATAGGGTTCACTACTTCATGGGGTTTCAGGCTTCCTCTGGCAGTCTTACATCTCCCAGGATAAAGGGGCACTGCTGTAGTGTGTATGCAAATGCTCTTGAAAAAACATAAAATGGTTAAACAAATATAAAGCACACTGGAATGTACAACAAGAAAGCCAAGTCTCTTTAACCCCAACACACTCACCCAATTAGCCAAAGACAAACAAGGTTAACAGCACCTACCAGAAGCTTCCCAAGTACATACGGGAGCTTTTCCTCAGAGTCACACCGTGTAAGCACTACACACCACATGTTCTAGAGCTTTCTCCCCTCAGCAGCAAACACAGACACACCCCTTTCTTTTTTAAAGTGAGTTTCTTGGTGTATCATGGAAGGGTCATGCCATTGTCCTTTGCAGTACCTCCTTGTGGTGGTTCCCAAGAGTCTTTTGCTTTTACAGACTGAGATGCCACAAATATCTCTGCATGTAACTCTAGACTTTTGTAGCACTGACTGTTAAAAATACACAGAAGATCTGTGACACTATTACTCTCTCCTGTATAGTGTTTTGGATGAGGCTGGCATACCAGACAAAAGCAGTTTAACTTTAAACATATGCTTTTAATAAGATCATTTCTATTATTTCAGTTAGGACATAGTACTGCCACAAGAACCCTGATGACAACATTGTACTTTTGTGCACAAAATAAGAATAAAGAATTTTTCATTCCGTCTTCACTGTTTTAAAAATAAGAACAGTAAACATTTGCAGAGGGTGCTATGGTTCAGAAGGCATGTCACAAACATTTTTTTAATCTCTCTCTACATTTAACAGCATCACAAATTCCTAAAATCTTAGATCAGGTCTCATTCCTTTTTCCATATACAAAATTATTTCTAAGACTATTTTTACATGTCAAAAAAGGTAACCATAAACGGGATCAAAAGAAAACACATTTTACAGTTAAGCTCCCATATACAGGATGTTGAGACCCAAGCAATGACTCTACTAGACACCAAGCAGAAAAGTGGATCAAATGTACATGAATCCTGGACAAACCTGTAGGAGCTGGTGGCCTCGTAATCCAGAATCGAATTTGCTGTTATCACCCCGCTCAGAGCATCAATCTGGAAGGCTTCTTCTTGGTTGCCCAAGAGAATGGAATACTCAATAAGGCCATTTAACCCACTGTCCAGGTCAGTAGCAAAAACCTATGAGGAACCGACTCTTCCATTAGATAGGATTTAATCTGCAATATGGGATAAGCTTGCTTTTCAGAGAAATGCATTACAAAGGAATCACAGGTTGTTAATGCATTTTAAAAACCACCATTACAAACATTCAAAAAAATAAAAAACAATGCCTGAAGCTTACATTTAACTTTATAATAAAGTGCGTGATGAGGGAAATGAAATTTTCTGCATACTCATCCAAAGGATTTCCAAATAACTTTCACATGTTCTTGAGCTATAATTTTGTGCAATAGGCAAAATTGCTGGAAAAAATATCTAATTTGCTTGAATAGAAGATTTCCAGAGCTGTATATGGATTCAGGCTGGCACCAGAAAAGGAAATAAGTGTTACAGGAAACCTTCATATGGTGAAAAATAATTTTCATTTGCTGTTTTATCCTCCTGTTTAAACCATCACCTATAAAATAAGCCATGTGCAGATTTTTTATGTTTGATTCAAGTTTTAACTTAAAGGGATCTTTAAAAAAGATACAGCCTAGGTTTAGTGCTAATAAATTGAGATCCCAATCACTTGATTTGATGAGTTAGAAAAGTAGTACTGAAGCTGGAAAAAATGTTTGGCCTCATTCTCCATGGAGATGTACTGTGTAATTAAATTTTAATCACTGAATCAATTAGATCAATGGATTGAAGATCTTATTTAAGAATAAGTTTCTGATTTATTAATAAAAAAAATTCTACATACTCTGTGCCCCTCAGCCTTAGCTTATGTCCATTGTCTTCTCTCTCCTGGGCTGTTATTTGGATGTCGCAGTGGGATTTTGCTGCTAATCCTTACTCTCTTGATCCATCCTTCCCACTGCCACCAGATCTTAGTGGCCCTAGTGAAGCATTCAGGACCTCATCAGGAGGGTGCACAAGCCAATTATGGGGTACAGAAAGGCATCAATACATGGTGTCCTTTGGGATCACCAAGAAGAGAAACTAGTCTCCAACTGGGGACAAATACAGCCCATCACATCCCTTGAGGTGTATACTTAGAAGTGGTATAGAAGGTGGGCCTTGTAAGGACATGGAACAGTGTTTTAGGATGCTGGTAACATGTGTGCACCACGGCTAACTTCAGAAAGGTATGCATCGGCAAGATAACTACCTGGTGAACAAGAATCTGAGCAACTCTGGGGATCTACAGCACAGCTTCCTCGGGTTGTTGCCATCAAGATGAATCAGCTCTGCTCTGTCTGTCTTGATGTCCCTTCAAATTCCAAGAGAAAGTCCGTCTGACTGAGACTAAGGCAATGCACAGCACCTCTGGTGGGGCAGGGTGGGAGGTTAGTCAGTCTTTGATACAACTGCCAAGTCTGCACCCCAGCAAGGAGGAGCAGATCCTCAAGGGAAGTTTCTAGAATTGCAGACAAAATGGCCTGTGCGCAGTTAGGTAGCAAAACCCAGGAAGTAGCCTGGTATAACCTCTTTCTAGCAGGACAGAGAATGGCAGTGCTAGCTTCCTAGGAACTAAGCAATCCAAAAATGGGAAGAACAAAATGCATCATGTCTATCCCTGACTCAACCTTCTAGAAGTCTGCAATAACCTGAGGCACTGGTGAACCCGATTCTCCCCGATTTAGGCACCTGGGCTTTGAAGGCATCCTCACGAGCACTTACTCCACAGGGAGCAGTCTGGCCCTACCCAGATTAGCATGGGGGACAGAGAAGGGCAACGCCACAGGCCTCCATGCAGAAATCCTCCTTGCAAAAGGATCTGCCATCGCCACCATCACTTTCTTAAACATCCCAGTGTTGTCTGAAATCAGAGTAAAGACAGCACTTGTGCACCAGGTTGGTGACTGGAGAAAACAGGCTTCTCTAAAACAAAATAAATCTGCAATAATAGACACCAGGATCCCGGATTGTGTGTGTGTGGCACTGAGGGGCATGAAGCTGAACCTCCAGCAGAGCTGCAACTCAACTGGTCCCCCGCAACAGAGGGGCGCGTGTGCATCAGGAACTGCACTTCAAGTAAAAAGAAGGCGTCTTTCTATATATTCAGGTGACTGTATGTAAAGAAGTATTGGAGATCTTATCTTGAAAATGCTAGCATTCCATATAAATATGTAGCCCAGAGAAGAAACCCATGATGTGATAAGTATGAGGTGCTGGTCACACCAGCAGCGTTCCAGGGGCCAAAGGCAACGCCCATTCTATGGCTATCTTTACCAGGAAGATGGTTTTATGCTGATTTTCTTTGCGGATTCGCAGGAAGTTGCAGATCCTTTGATGCCCAGCTTCTTGACTACAAAATGTAGTTTAATGGTGAAGGGAAAGGAAAAAATGGGCACTAGTCCTGAAGCAAGAAGAAACACTACCCAGAATGGGTGAGGCTTAGAGCTAGAACACTAGACAGTGAACAGATTCTCTTACTGTTAGGGGCTCATCAGTGAGATGAGGTGAGTCTTGAAACACAGAGGATCTGTCCACCTGCCTGTTCACCTGTAAGATCTGATGCAAAGATCAGTCCTCTGTGAAGTGTCACATTTCCCTCCAAGAGGAGACTGTGAATCACTCCTGTTTGCTCTCATGACACTCATTGCAAGATCCTATTATAACATTAATTGTATAACATTTGATTTTATACTTATATTTCCAACCTCCCCCCTAAACTGTACATATTTGAAAGTCTAGTCATTTTTTTTTGTGGTCCTGCAGTGTCCCTCTAGTGCCTGCAGTGTTAGAGTCCCTAGAGAAACCAGGTGGGCAGCAATGGAGCATTGAATGAATAAAGAGGAACAAGAGTGAATGTAGAAATTTCAGATTTCATTCAATCTAAGGTTTCATTCAACCCTTAAATGCTGTACCTGGAGACATTTGTTTTGTTTTGTTTTGTATTGAGGATTGAACCTAGGAGTGCATAAAAACTGATCCACATCCATAGGCCTTCTTATATTTTATTTAGAGACAGGGTCTCACTAAGTTGCTTAGGGCCTTGCTGAGTTGCTGAGGCTGGCTTTGAACTGGTGACCCTCCTGCCTCAGCCTCCAGAGCCTCTAGGATTATGGGCATGCACCTCCACTCCCAGTGGGACATTTACATTTTAATTAATGTGTTGGACAGAAGCCTTTGACATTCTGTTGTACACTGATAATAATTAATACACACAAGTGCACACACACACACACACACACACTTCTGTTCACCTGTATGATGTGAGTGTTGTAGGGCTGGCCTTCAGACACTGAAGCTTGATAAAACCTTTGCCCAAAGCATGGCGAGTTGTCATTCACATCCTGTATCAAGACTGCGATTTTGCTGTAGGCTCTGTGCCCGCCACTTTCAGCTACAATGATGAGTTGCATTTCATTTCTGACTTCAAAATCGAGGAATTTGGGTTCTTTCACAGTGAGTTGTCCTATTTTTATTCCCAAGGAGAAAGAAAAGAGAGAATGTAGTGTTATTTTTAAAGAGATCCAAGTTACCCTTGACTCATAGGCTCACGTTCCCACCAGTCTCCCATTGGCAGGCCTCTCGTCCCCACTGACGATGGTCATTGTGGAAAGAGCTGTGAACTAACAGGTATTTGCAGGGTTTAAACATGTAGAGGGAAAGAATCCATAAAATATGTAAAATCTGGAGCTTTCTCTTTATTTATTTATTTATTTATTTATTTTGGGGGTACTGGGGATTATCCAGTAACCCAGGGGTGTTGTGCCACTGAGCCACATCCCCAGTCTTTTTTATCTTTTATTTTGAGACAGATCTCACTAAGTTGCTTAGAGCTTTGCTGAGTTGCTGAGGCTGGCTTTGAACTTGTGATCCTCCTGCCTCAGCCTCCAAGTCACTGGGATTACTGGGGTACTCCATAGCACCCGGTTGGGAGTTCTCTCTTCAACCATCCTTCTCTCTCCATATGGAGCCCTTTGCCACATCTGCAAAGTGCACTTTCCAAAGTCTCTTAATCCACCTCTTCTGCTGCCCTCCTCCAAGCCATCAGCATTTCCCTTTTTGTCCCCTGCATTAGCCTGGTCTCCCCACCAATCCAGTTTCCATTCTGAACTAAATAAAAATGGATGCTGTCATTGTCCTGCATAAAATCCTTCACGGGCTTCTGACAGCTAACAGGATGAAGTTCAGCATCTTTAACCTGCAAGGGTCCACTCACTCGGGCCTCACCCACCTGCAAAGTTTCACTCACATCTTTCTTTACTTTGCCCTCTCTGCTCCAGTCATAACCTGCATCCGTCCAGTATCCCCTGAATGGTCATTTCAGAGTTGTCATGCATGCCTCTCATCTGCCTGGAACTGTCCCCACGTCTAGCCCCCTACAGTGATCTTTTTTGCCCTGTGCCATCCCAATGCCAGCTGCCCACAGACTCTCACAAAACATCTGCATTTGTAGGCAGCCTTCTCGGTCACCTTACATGTTTCAGGCCTATTAGTTCTCCAGGTTTATAAGCTCCATAAGGTGAGGACTATTACCTGTCTTTTACACTCCATCACATCACTTAGCTCAGGGTGTGGCCTCTAGAAGGCATTCGTGAGTACTTGAACATCCTTATATAAGAAGCAGAACTAAATAAAAATGGATGCTATCTTTTTCAGGGAAGCAGACTTTTGGGGATGATGTCATGCTCAAGTTTCTCCCCTAAATTAAGAAATTCCTTCTATATAACTGCCTTCTCTAATTTTTATTGCTTTTTCCCCTCTGCCATAGAACAAAATGTCAGATCCCACTTATTATCATTTTGACTATCTGAAATTCCATCAAGTAGAGACTTATCAAATAAGCACATGAAACCAAGAATAAATCCTAGCATTGGTTGCTTCATTTAGTTAAATTAATGGCTCCAACACCTCATTTTTGTGACTTGCTGGAGAAGGTTTTTCAGATCCTATATGGCTAAAGCTCCTTTTCCATGAAATGAGAATATTCATAATGACTTTATAGGGTAGCTGTGCAGACCACATGATACAACATCTCTACATGGAATTTTAGAAGTTTGATTTGCTGGCAAAAGAATCTATACTTTTTCCAGAAACTTGGCCTGGAAGAGCATATTTATTTCTCTGCCTGAACACATTTCCCCATATAACCAACCTAGTTCAGAAAACACTTGAGTTTTATCTTTGATATTGAGTATGTATGTGTGTGGGGGAGTGTGTGTGTGAGAATATTATAGTTAATATTCTGTTACCTCAAAACATTAACTGTTTATGTTCTATATTCAGAACTCATTTTACTATCAAATTTAAAATATCATAAACTCACTATTATTTTTGACATCATATTTTCAGTATTATTTTAAGTCCTGGGACCAAATTAATTTTACACACCACAGTCTGTTTTGTTCAACACACCCCTAACAGAGAATTATGGGTAGCTCCCAATTTTGGCAACTGCAGAATCATTAAGATGTATCTTGTGGGTTGGTGATGAAAGTAGCTGGTCTTGAGAAACATCTGTGGCACAAAGGCTGATTCCTACACCCCTAAATTGTAGGGAAGCCAAGTCTGAGGTGGGTCCATGGCTCTCACCCGATCTCTAGAAAACACAGCATCATGCTATCATGCTATTGTGTTACTGTTTGTAAAGGAAAAATAAAATAGAAAGGCAACACTAAATTGCCACTGTCATTTAGTAGAAAGTGCGCCAATTATGGTGCAGATCAAAGTGGAGTTTTTAATAAAAGGCTTGTGTTTACGCTTTGATAATTGGAATTTTGCACTTGGAATGGATCTATGGGTCTAATGCTTTCCTTGCTTGGTTTTTTATTTTTGGCATCATAACTGGCACATGCTGTGAAAGTTGTGCAAATGGAAAAGACAATAGCCAGTCTATGAGATGACTCAAGGCTGGCACACCTACTAAATCCACATTTTGCCTGCAACGATACACATGAATTTTTCTCAGAGACATCAAAGATGTAGTCATCAGTGAGATGAAAGTACTACCAGGCTGTCTAATGACATGGGCAGAAGTCCACATTTTCCTTATAGCATGAAGCCTTGCAAATATCACCTTTACATTCCTGCTTATGGATTATGTGCCAGTTGTATATTAACTTGAGAAAAAACTGCAGTAATATTTTTCCTTCTAATACATAGCTTTAGTCCAAGTTATAAAATGCACATCAAAATGAGATTAAGATTCTTCAAATGCTACATGCTTGATAAAATAATCAGGTTACTTCAGTCATTTGTACACTGTGTGCACACAACTATATGAACCCAAAGCAGAATGTGACAAATATTTATGTTACCCAATAGCTTTTTAAACTCTCTCCTGCCACAAGCATGTCTTTGAAACATTGAAAGTTTGATCATTTTTGTTTTATGTCAATCTACCAAATAATGGACTGAACACTACCATCTGTTATTTACATACACAGTCTTAGTCTTAGTCAAACTCTAAAATTCCTGCTGGTTTAGACAGTAATAGATGTTTTTAATCCAAAGCAGCATGAAGTTTAAATACAAAAGTCAAACTTTGGCTTGTAACAATGGAACAGAGGTTCTTTGTATTTTTATCTTTTAAAAAAGTGACCACAATTTGAAAGACCAATTTTATTATTTAATCATATATACCAGTTTTCTATTTTAACTAATCCAAGGTTTAAAATACACATATCCAGAAAAATCTCTGTTAGGTATCTTTAGGCACAAATTTAATGATAATGTGTCAAAGATAGTATGAGACATGCATTTAATATCATAATTAAAAATTTAAAAGACTTCATGATAACAGTTATATATATATAATATGATTATATATATATATGATTATATATATACATATATATAATATACACATATTAATGATGCTCATGATCAAGGCAACTAAAATGCTTGATAAGATTTGGATGCATATGATATATATGCACATTACCTATTGTTATGGTTTGGATGTGAGGTGTCCCAATAAAGCTCACATGTGAGACAGTGTAAGAAGATTCAGAGGAGAAATGATTGGGTTGTAAGAGTCTTAACCCAATCAGTGATTTAATCTTCTGATAAGGATTAACTGAGTGGTAACTGAAGTGGTGGGCTATGGCAGGAGGTGGTGGGAACTGGGGTGTGGCCTTGGGTATATATTTGTATCTGGTGAATGGACTCTCTCTCTCTCTGCTTCCAAATCACCTTGTGAGCTGCTTTCCTCTGCTGCACTCTCTGCCATGATGTTCAGCCTCAGCTTAAGCCTGCAGGAATGGAGCCAGCTGTCTATGGATTGAGGCCTCTGAAGCCATAAGCCCTCAAATAAATTCTTCCTCCTCTACAGTTGTGCTAGTCAGGTTACTTAGTCACAGCAGTGAAAAACTGATTAAAATACCTATGCACATACACGTTTATGTGTATATTAAAATGCATTACTGAGTTGGTACAGATGTAAGGAATCCCCAGAAGACAACCCTAACAATGAAAACAGGAATCCTTGAAGGAAAACATGCACCAAAAGTCTATGTTCATTCCAAGACCTTCTTCCATGACTTCCTTGAAATGCCTCTCTGACACTTCAGAATGTGAAAAACAGGTTCAAAGGTTAAAAGGCTAATAGGAAAAAACCAGCATACAGTAGAAACCCAAAAGTTATATTCTAAATGAACAATGAATGTGAAAAAAATTAAAAACTGATGCATAAAACTTAATTTTCTTGACTTTGCATTTGCTGACAAGGAGAGAAAAAATATTTCTTCCAGGAATTCATTAGCTTGGGCCTGAGTTTATGTACTTATACTATCACAGTTAAATGTCTTTTAAAAAGCTCTTAAGAATTAAATTTGCTGGGTGCAGTGGCCCACACCTATAACCCAGTGACTTGGGAGGCTGAGGCAGGAGAATCAAGAGTTCAAAGCCAGCCTCAGCAACAGCAAGGTGCTAAGCACCTCAGTGAGACCCTGTCTCTAAATAAAATAGGGCAGGGGATGTGGCTCAGTGGTTGAGTGCCCCTGAGTTCAATCCCCAGTACCCCCCCCCAAAAAGAATTAAATTTAAATTTGTTCCTGTTTGTTGTAACCAGGTGAATTTTAGAAGGAAAGAAAATCATCTCTGAGGGGCACAAATTCAATCCAGGCTTCAAAGAATCTTCAAAGGAAATGTTTTGAGGACAATGTGGAGGTCATAGTTCACAAGTACAAACATCATACAGAAACCCAGACCCACGAAAAACAACAAGTAAATCCAACAGACAGCAGAATAAAACTTCAAGGACTTACAGTGGTAGAATTACTGCATTCAGAATTATACATATAAATGCAGTGTTGCTAGGTATGGAACCGAGGGACACACACGTGCTAGGCAAATGTTCTAACACTGAGCTACATCCCCAGCCCCACATGCTTAAATATATATAAAAGAACCTTGGAAACATGCACAAGGAACAAGCGATTAAATTTTTTGAAGACCAAAAATATTTGAAAAAGAGCAGAAGAGCTGGGTATGGTGATACACACCTGTAATCCCAGCAATTCAGGAGGCCAAGATAGGAAGAGGATCATAGGTTCAAGGACAGCCTCAGCAATTTAATGACATCCTAAGCAATTTAGGAAGACCCTGTCTCAAAATAAAAAATAAAAAGGGCTAGAGATGTTGCTCAGTGGTAAAGCACTCTTGGGTTCAATACCCAATATAGTACAATACAACACAATAAAAAGAACAGAAGAAAATTCCTGGAAATTAAAAAAAATGAAAAAATATAATTCCTCAGATTGAAAAGCAAAAAGACAAAGAGATGAAAAAGAGGTATAGGAGAGATTTATTTGGTTCCATCTTTGTCAAATTGGTGTTCCAAAGAAAGATACAAATGAATGGCATTTAGATCAGTTGCTGACTTCTTAGAGCAACAGCAGGAAACCAGAAGACAGGCGAGAAATTAACTGTGAGTCTAGAATTATAAGACCAGCAAAAGTATGCATTAAAAATAAGGATTAAATAAAGACATTTTTTACACAACTAAAATCTAAAAGTCACTAAAAGGAGTTATTTGGGGTAGAAAGAAAATGATAATAAAGGGAAGTTTGAGATGTAAGAAAGAAAAGTTTGCAAAGACATTAGCTAAGAAGCAGCTAACTCTATTATAAAATTCTAATTGTTCCTAATTAAAAGAACTAAAACTGTGGTCAACCAAACCATGCAAATAGAAAAAGGAGTATTTGGAGATAAAGAATTATAAGCCTTGTGTAGTACATATGATTTTGTCTCACCTTGGATTCTAACTTTATAATATTAAAATAGCTAGATTAACCATTAAAAGAAGAAAAATAGTTATATAACTTCCAATAAACATAGGGGGAAAAAACATAGGGGAAGACATTTTCAGAAACTGATTGTGTACATACAATGTACAGAAAAATGTCAGAATCAGTGAATTTGCAAACTTGCTTGGTACAAACTCAAAACACAAAAGTTAACTTCAAACATACATACCAACATGGTCAGAAAAAAAAAATTTAATTTACTTCAGCAAGAAAAAGTACAAAATATTTAAGGCAGACCTAACAAAAGATATGCAAACAGGTACATTTCCTTCTTTGCTATTTCTCTTAAACAGGGGGTGGCTTATGCATCTTAAGTCAGTAAAAATGTTGAGCAAAAGGGCCCACAGCATTTCTGAGATGGTGTTTAAATGAAGGTCAAAGAAAATAACACTATTTAGAAATTTGAACACAGTGGAAAATTATACCATTGAAAACAAACTCAGTTATCAATATCCAATTCAGGTTACTGATACCTCTGGAGTGGAAGAAGGGAGCCTGAGGCTCTTTAGCATATGCAACAATATGCTAATTAACTTGATTTAGCCATTCCAATATGCATTCATACTTCTAAGCAGCAGAAAATGGGAAGAGGGAGGAAAGGAGGAAAGATACACAGTGTCTTCCTAAAGTTCTAGTAATGTCTTATTTCTGGAGACAGATAACAAACACATGGGCTTTTATATTTCTATTGTCCATTAGGTATTTTATAAATTTTAATGTATTATCATATAGATATTTCAAAAATGCTTACATAAATTTCAACATAACTAATCGAAAAGTAGATTTCTGTGGGTGACCTCCTTGTTCTGACTCTAGGTAAATTTTATCTGCCTTTTAATAATGTAATCCAGTGGTCGGGGGAAGGTCACGCGTGGGCCACATCAGGAGGGACATGATAGAAAGATCCGGATAGTCTGGGATAACATGGAATCTCTATTATTCTCCTCTTTTCATTAACAGTTTAATCTCAGCTCTTTCCCCAGAGATCTAAGACACCAGGTCGGGAAAGCTCATGGGTCGGTGGTGTTTGAAAACACCTTTTGCCAACAGGTTTCCTTTGTCATTCTTCCACTCTGCCATGGGTGGTGAAGGGATGGAAATTTCCAGCAGACTGCCTCAGAAAGGCTGCTGACCCAAGGCTGCATGGACCAAAAAGCCATAACACCAGCCCTGGCCACCATAAAGGCTTTTCTCTAAGAAATTATGCCCTCCCAATTTTTCCCGTGTGCATGTATTACAGATTAAATAAGGCAGTTGTATGGTAATATAGAAATTATTAAAACCATTCTTCTTGAGGTTTGACAATGAAGCAATAGATATACATCTACTGCATAGCTGTTAGTCAAAAAAGTATGTTTCAAATAATCAATTGGTATTCATTTAAAACACAATAATGGTCGTATTAAAGCTAAATTTAATACATGCTGTATTTGGAAGTAATTTCTTTACCACCACATAGAAACTTTTCCAGCTGTCCTTTCTTGTTGCATTGTTGACATTCAGTGGCGAATTAGAAGAATCTCTGATGAAAATTCCCTAGGGCCAGACATGTGTGCTTATTTTCAATTCAAATTCAGTATCATTGATCTCCACTCTCTATCTCCAATTTTCCCAAACAGGTTAGGAAATTATAAGTAGAAACCAATTCATCTTCAAAAATCCAAAGGACAGGATAAATGCTAATTTGGAAATGTTGAAATAGAATTCTTAGTGACTATACATAAACAAACACACAGATAGTTCTGAATTTCCCAGTAGTTTCTCATTGGCTACTATAAAAATTTCCTGCTAACTTTTAAAATTTTACCTTGAAAATTTTGTAGACTAGTAACATTAAATGGAACAGCAAATAAAGCTATATTATGGTAGAGAAGGATTACCTGAATTGGAGCCCAGGGAACAAACTCCATCTTCATTTCCACTAAAAATTGAGTATTTAATATCATCCTGAATTGAGTCGGAAGCAAAAGCTTTTACCGTCAGGATAGAAGTACCTGTAAACATAAGGTTTAAAAAAGGGCATCTTTAGGAAAATAATATTTCATGGGAAAAAAAGAAGAAGAGCAAACACTTGAGTAATAACTATCATGTTTTCACTGTTCATTAATTCAACAATTACTCAGGAAGCGTCTTCATATGTCAGAATCCATGCTAAGTACTGGGGATACAGAGGCAAGCAAGATAGAGTAATCTCTCTTCATGTGGTGGTTATTAACTAGAGGAAGGAAACACAGTAAATCACTAAACAAAGATGTAATCAAGGTAAATTTCAGACTCTGCTACTTTCCCTGGAAAGAGAAGTAAGGTTATGTGACAGGAGCACTTCTTTCCTGGAGCCAGGCAGAGTGAGGATGAAGGGCCATGGTAACTGGCAGAGAGGATTCGAGGAGGAGGAATAACCAGTACAGAAGTGGTGATCTGGGAAAGGACTGGTACAGCACCAGGACTCAGGGAAGAGGCCTAGAGAGGACGTGGCAGCATCAGCAAGGAGAGTGTCTTTTTCTCAGTTCATTGGGAAGTCATAAAAGCAGTCTAAGGAATGGAATGAAACAACAAAATTTATTTTAAAAAATAACATTTGACTGCTGGCTGAAGAACATAGGAAAGAAGAGAAAAAAATGGAGCAGAGACAGTGTAAGATAATATTACAATAGTCCTAGCAAAAAACAAAGACCCACGACTGTGGGAGGGAAGATGGACCAGGTAGACAGATTGAAAACATATTTTCACACAGTGTCTTGATCATTGGGTGGGAGTGGGAAAGAAGGTTAAAGGAGTATAAAGAGGAGAAATAATTCTTTAACTAGCATCTAGATTAGTAACAGGTAGAAGCAATTCAACTGGAAAGTAACTTTACTACATGACATTAACTCATTAAAAATTTGTTAAAATAGGGAAGAAGCAGTCAAGAGATAACTTCAAGGAAGAAACAAAAATTGAATTAGGTGTAGAAATTGGAAGACAGTAGAGAAGAAAGCCATTTCATGTTATGGGGGACAAACCAGTCACCAGCATGAAAGAATGCACAAGGACTGACAGTGGCAATGAGGTGGTCTGTATGATTAGAGTTGGGAGCCTAGGATGGGCACAGTGGCACACACCTGGAATCCCAGCAACTCTGGAGGCTGAGGCAGTAGGATCATAAGTTCAAAGCCAACCTCATCAACTTAGTGAGACTGTCTCTAAATAAAATATAAAAAGAGCTGAGGATGTGGCTCAGGGGTTAAGTATCCTGGGATCCCTGGGTTCAATCCCAGTATCAAATAATAATAATAATAATTTGCTTTATATTAAGGATTTCAATTATTTCTGTAAAATGACAGATAATAAATCTTTTAGGCTCTGTGGGTTGTGTAGTCTCTGTTGCCAATACTCAACCCTGTCATTGTGGCATGAAAGCAGACAATATGTTAAAAAAAAGTGTGACTGTGTTCCAATAAAACTTTATTTAAAAAATAAAGTAGATGGGTTTTATGTGACAGGAAACCGTGAAGAGAAAATGGAAGATAAACTGAGAAAAGATGCAAAGTGACTTTAAGGCAAGCTGCACACAGCAGTTACTTGTATGAACAACTCTGGGCAAAGAAAGTTATTTACGACAGCTACAAGGGTCCCCAGGTATCTATCTGGGCCTCAGGTCAGTACTTTCATGTCTTTGTTTGTAATATATTATGCCTATATGGCTCACCTCTGCTTTGTTTTCTGTTCTGTTTGTTCATTTCTCTTATTTTTTGTAAAAATATTTTTTAAAAATTAGTCAACTTCACTAAGGTAAAATTTACATGCAATAATAAGCATGTGTTTTAAATATGCAGTTCTATGAGTTTGACAACTACATACACCTATTCGATCAGTATCACTATAAAGACCCAGAAATATTTTCAACACCCACAAATTTTCCTTCTGCTTCCTGCAGTCACTTTCCCCTCACTTTTGACCACATGGCATCGTGGATTTATTTTCTATAACTCAAGATTTGTTTTGTTTCTAAAATTTTATACATTTGTGAGACACACACTCTCTGGCTTCTTTTGCTCAGTGTAATTTTCTGACAACAACATATGTATTGGTTGGTGTTTCAGAAGTACGTTCCATTTTTATTGCAGAGTGATGCTGTATTGCATGGGCACACCAGAATTTGTTTTCCATTCACCTATAGATGGACATTTGGATTACTTCCTATTGGGGGCTACTGTGGCTAAAGTTTCTGTGGACATTCATACCCCAGGGTTTGCATGAATTCATGTCTTCATTCCTTGAGTAAATGTGTGTTTATAGGAAACTACCAAACTATTTTCCAAAGCATTAGTCCTTTTTTACATTCTGGCTGGCCGCATATGAGAATTCTAGTTGCTCCCAATTGAGTGGTATTGTCAGTCTTCGTAATTTTAGTCATCTCAGTGGATATGCAGTGTATCTTATTGTGGTTCTTAGTTTTAATTTTCCTGATGTTTGGTGATACTGAGCATCTTTTTGTGTGCTTATTGGCCACACTTGCACCCTTCTTTTTAGTTCAACCTTGTCCCTGGCTTCCTGGTTTTTACTCACCCATCACTTCTGAAAAAACATTCTGATGGTTTTTGACTGACCCCTTTCCTCTGGTTTTAAGCGTCTAACTTGTGGTAACTGCTTTGAACTCCTGATCTTGCCATGACCCTGCCTCTCCTCTTACTGTCCTTTGCCCCCTGGGATGCCACCTACTGGCAATGTTTGCATGTTGTACTGATGGGGAGAGATGGACAGGAGGGAACCCTGGAGGTCTCTCTGGCTGCTCACTGTACAGCAACAGGGTCCTCTCCAAGATGGTAGTAACAAGGCACAGGAGGAAAAGCGAAAGAACACATTTGAAAAGGAAACAGGACCAGCCCTGATGTCCGAGATGAGTACATTGCAGGAATCATTAACTCAGATGCCATTAAGTAAAAGCAAGAAGCCTGGCCACCTGAAGAGGTCAGAGAAGCGGAGGGGGCAGAGCACTCAGTGTGCCCACGCACCTCAGCTCATTGCTGCGAACAGAGGAAGCAGGCTTCAGGGTGCTTGAGATTCTGGTCTTTCCAAGAGAAGCTTGAAAATTCATGTTTATGTTCATGTGAAATCTCTCAATTTCTAAATGTTGGAAAACAACTAATTAAGAAAACAAATACCACCAGATGGACTGAATGAAACTCAGCTGTGGCTTGGCTCCAGTGCTGAGTCATCCCATCACTGAGAGGAAGATAAGCCTCTCTCTGTTATCAGCCTTTTTAGCATTTGGGCTTTGCTACTTATTTTTAAGCCAGAGACTCGTATGTTGGAAGACTGATCTCTCATCTCCTTGATTTAATTGGTCAAAATGGCACGACAGCAGAAATTTTCTTTTTAACCTTTTGGTGGTGTGAGGGTTGAACCCAGGTCCTTGCATGTGCTCGGCAAGCACTCTACCACTGAGCTACATCTCCAGCCCCAAGGAGATTTTCTATATATTTGTGATTGATATATTCTTATAACTGAATACTAGTTTCTTTTTTTTTGGGGGGGGGGGACGGAACCAGGGACTGAATTCAGGGGCATACGACCACTGAGCCACATCCTCAGTCCTATTTTGCATTTTATTTAGAGATGGGAGCTCACTGAATTGCTTAGGGTCTTGCTAAGTTGCTGAGGCTGGCTTTGAACTCATGATCCTCCTGACTCAGGTTCCCGAGCTGCTGGGATTACAGGCATGAGCCACCACACCCAGCTATATATTAGTGTTACCTTTAAAATTTCGTACACTTGTTAATGATAAGAAAGATATACTAATTACCCCAATTTGATCAGTACACGTTATATACATGCACTTGTATACATATTTATACGTATCACATTGTACTCCAAAAATATGTGTAATCATTAAGTTAATCAAAATATTTAAGAAGTTTAAAGAGATAGAAATGCTTACTATCTGATTTTGATCATTCTGCTCTATATACATCTACCAGATTACCACTCCATACTGCATAAATTTGTACAATTAAAATAATAATTTAAAGAGAAATTTCCTACACTTAAAGTCTATGGTATCTGGCATCTTTTGTTCAATGTAAGGTTGCTTTAAAAAAAATAAATAAAGTGTGTTGTTCTATGTCTCAAAAATGTATTTCTTCATAAGTAGCAGGTACTTAAAGATTGTGGGAAGAAGAAACAGAAAAGGAAACAGAGAGAAAAAGAACACTGAAGTTTTCTAGGCAGAGAAATTAGAATAGTGTTGGTCTGGGTCGACAGGGTCACTCTAAATTAGTGGAAATTATTTTTTAAAAAACAACTCAATGCTACAACATCACATCTGATAGTCTTATCTGCAGAGGTCAAAAAAATAGTACCTTTACGACTGAGCCTCCTCATTGAATCTTACTGCACAGGAACTGGGAACCCCGCTTAAAACCCATTCTGCTGGAGGTTATAACAAAATATCATATCTAAACCAAGTTAAATTGCTGTTTTTTTCTAAATATTTAATATAATTTCAGTGAAAGTAACAGAAAACAAAAAGGCCCTAGATCAGACAGGCTTTTGCTCTAGGATCCTTTCAATGCCTACCTCTCAAAGGAAGAATGCAATGATCACTATAAATGTTAAAGGAAACAAGAATATGATATTGCCCACAGAACTGAAACTTCAGTGAGAACTCAGTGAATGAAGACCCAAAACAGAATTTGTTATGGAGAAAGACAGGAAACTCCAAATTCTATATAGTACTCTCTTTAGAAAAATTATACTTGACGTAAACTGTGACAATATTTAAAAATAATCTATCAGGATTTCTCAATGGTTATTCTATTCAAGCCAGTTATGAAGTCATTTTGGAACAAAGTATCAAATTTTAATCAATCATGGTGGAATCAATTACTACACATGTTGAGAATTCTTTCAAATTGCATTATAATCTCATGGTTGCTTTATTGCATTTCAGGAGACATGTTGTTAACATAAAAATGTCTTGCATTTTTGTTAGGATTTAACCTTTACAGTAGTA